TTTTTTTTTTATTTGGGTGACAGTGAAAACGATCTGTACCCTTCAAAGAACAAAACAGCAACTGTGGAATGTGTTTTTGTAAAATGATAAAACATGTTTTTTAGTTCATAATTATTTGTACATGTTCTCACCTTCCTCTGATATAAATCCATGCCATTCCTGTTTTTTGATCGGGATCATTTGCCGTCCAATATGGGGATCATTTCCGGTCCGGGATCATTTGCGGTTCAATTTGGGGACCATTTGCGGTCCTGGGATCATTTGCGGACCCGTACAGACCTCCCTGCCCACTTTTCTTTCGCCTTCAAGCGCGCAAGCGCCCTCGTTTCATAAACGGAGCACAGATAAGGTTTGAAGGATAGCAATTCCTGCTTAAGGGAAACCTTAGAACAAAGATTAGTGGAAGCAGTTTCCAAGCCCGTCACTGCTTCCATCTCTTCCAATTCACTGTTGCACTACGCTAGCTACATGGTGAAAACAAGTGTGACGCTAAATTTTTATTGCATAAGCAAATTAGACAAACCAATCGGTCCTGCAAGGGCAAGAACTTTTTCTGATTGAAATAATATTGTTGTTTTGATTTTTGTATCATTATAATTTTTTTCTTTCCTAATTCAGGTCCAATAGTAATTCTGATGTTAACAATTACAACTAATTGCAGTGGTGACAGATTGATGACCTTAAAAGCTAGCATGCAGATCGACGTAAGTAAAAGCAAAACCGTACTTAGTTCCAAGACAATAACATGCAATCCTCGCACGTTATTACCGTTTTCAAACATTCAATTAACAATTTTGGTCTGAAATAGAGCGGCTTTTGCACAGTCACGTCTGGAAATGAGTATAGTATAGAATAGAACATTTGTCATCAATTACTATTATATTTCACTTAAATCTTTGTGTAGGGGTGTACCGCTGGGTCACTGAAACCCTTATCCTAAACTAGACCATGATCAGCTTGATTTGGCAACCCTACTCTAGACTAGGCACCAAAAATCCCTACCCTATACCAGACTAGCTATTTTCCATGCAGAAACTTTGTCACTATCGTAGCCAACATATGCTAACTAAACCAATATCTTAAAAAGTTCCCTTTACCTCCGCCTAAAACTTGAATTTCAACTGTTACTTTGCAATAGAAAGAAATCACATTACTAGCTATTTACGTGTAATACGTT